TGACATCCGCTTTTTGAATTTTCTTCCAGCATGGCTTCAGAAATGGTCCTCTAGGTCTTTGATCTTCTTGAGTATGATTAGGATTACAGGCACAAACACTGGTGCTTAGTTCTATTGGCCTTTCAAAATTTAAACTCAAGGAAGTGGCTCTGTGGCTCGAGTGGTAGAGCACTTGCCTTGAGCTGAAAAGTACATGGGCAGTGCCCAGGTCCAGAGTTCAAGCCCCATGACTGACAAAAAAAAAAAAAAAAAAAAGATTTAAACCCAAATCTATTAGTTTGTCTCAGCTGCCATAAAAAATACTATAGAGGGGCTGGTAATGTGGCTCAGGGGTAAAGTGCTTGCCTAGTATGCATGAAGCTCTAGGTTTGATTCCTCAGCATCACATCAACAGAAAAAGCTGGAAGTGGTGCTGTGGACCAGGTGGTAGAGTGCTACCCTCGAGCAAAAGAAGCTCAGGAGCAGTGCCCAGGTCCTCTGTTCATACCCCAGGACTGAAAAACAAAACAACAACAAAAAACATAGAAGCTGGGTGCCAATGGTTCACCCCTATAATCCTTGCTACTCAGGAGGATGAGATCTAAAGATCATGGTTCAAAACCAGCCCAGGAGGAAAGTCCATGAGACTCTTATCTCCAATTAACCACCTGAAAACCAGAAATGGTGCTATGGCTCAAAGTGGTAGAATGCTAGCCTTAAGCAAAAAAGCATAAGGACTCAGGCCCCATGTGTACCAAGAAAACAGAAACAAAACAAAAAACAAAACATAGAACTGAGAATGTAATGTGGCTTAGAATAGTAGAATGTGGGAAGGTGGCTCAGTGGTAGAATGCTTGCCTTGAATGCATGAGGCCCTGGGTTCGATTCCTCAGCACCACATAAGCAGAAAAAGCCAGAAGTGGCGCTGTGGCTCAAGTGGTAGAGCGCTAGCCTTGAGCTGAAGAGCTGAGAGACAGCGCCCAGATCGAGTTCAGGCCCATGACCGACCAAAAAAAAAAAAAAAAAAATAGTAGAATGCTTGTCCAGCATATGTAAAGCCCTGGGTTTGGTGTCTACACTGCGAAAGCATAACAAACCAAAAGAACAGACTGAAATGCTTAACAAAAAATTTCCCTCATTTACTAAAATAGTTGTATTAAAGGGGTTTCAATTCCATAAGCAGAACTTTTTTTTTTTTTTTGTCGGTCGTGGGGTTTGAACTCTGGGCCTGGGTGCGGTCTCTGAGCTCTTTAGTTCAAGGCAAGTGCTCTACCACTTGAACCACAGCACCATTTCTGGTTTTCTGAGTGGTTTATTGGAGATAAGAGTCTCACGGACTTTCCTGCCCAGGTTGGCTTTGAACTGTGAGCCTCAGATCTCAGCCTTCTGAGTAGCTAGGATTAAAAGCATGAGCCACCAGTGCTCAGCTAAACTTTTTTTTTTTTAATTGTGAAAATATCCTACAGAGGGGTTACAATTACGTGGGCAAGGTAATGAGTCCATTTCTTATCAAGCATTGATGCCTCCTCCTTTGTTTCCCCTTACCATCCCCTTCCCATCTCCCCCCCTCCTCCAAACTTTATTTTTTTAAGTAGTCCTTTCTAGTTTGTTGAATCTTTTTTTTTTTTTAGGACACAAACTTTCAGTCCATGACACCAGACTGTCTGACATTAGAGTAGGAAGACAGAAACAGGTGGAAACTTCTGATTTTTTAAATATTGTATTAGGTCCTATGCAGGAAAGAGGGTTTACTGGAGGGGAGCCAGCGGGAGAAGGTGAGGCGCATGCTCAGTTTGTATCACTGATCAAAACTGTAATCCAAATGGACTGCCAAGGTTTCAGACTAGAAACATACCTCCCACAGGGCTTTGTTAGGCAACACTTGAAAGGGTTCCTGGATTTTGAAGTGAAGCTCAACTTGGATTTTAGACAAAAAGGGAAAGTTTGGAAGAGGGAAAAAGAAAAAGGTAATCTCTCTGACCTCAGAAGCCATGATTCAGAAACAATGTCTTTTTAATTTATCCCCTATGTCAGAAATGGTTTGCTGAGAGGCCCCACAACTGTCCGGTAAGGGGAAAGTTTTCTTTCAGGTTCCTCCAATGATATGTTTGACATAACTGCAGACCTGATTTCTTTTTGTGGTCGATTGTTTTCATTCCTCATTGTTATGAAGAAGGAATGAAAATTGTTTTTAGAGGATTTCTAACCTTCCTTTCATCTGCTTAGAAGAAGCAGATCTTCATTTAATCAGCACATTTGCTAACACAAATTATTTACTTAAAAGACTCCTTCAGGGCTTTAAATAAGTAAATTTCCAGGGGGTAGAGATTGCACTGATATTCCCAATATTTGTAGGTCAGCTGTGATTAATTTCTCTTCTGAAAATGAGTAAATCCTAAGATGTTAACCAAGAAAAATTGAATAAGGACAGGCAAAATACACATGTTTTTGGACAAGGGCAAGGAGCTGCAAAAGAAATAGTTTTAAGGTTTTAGAGCATTTGGTTCAAAGGTTTTGTGCAACCTGATCTCTATTCCTAGTTATTTATTTTTTGCCAGTCATGGGGCTTGAACTAAAGGTCTGGGCACTGTCTCTGAGCTTTTTTTGTTCAAGGCTAGCACTCTACCATTTGAGCCACAGCACCACTTCCAGCCTTTTCTGTTTATGTGGTACTAAGGAAATGAACCTAGGGCCTCATGCATGCCAGGCAAGCACTCTACCACTGAGCCACCTTCCCAGCCCCCCTTCCTAGTTATTTAAAATTTTTACTTTCAGACAAAGTCTCAATAAATTGGGCTGGGAAGGTGGCTCAGTGGTCGAGTGCTTGCCTTGCATGCTGAGGCCCTGGGTTTGATTCCTCAGCACCACATAGCAGAAAAAAAAAAAAAAAAAAAAAAAAAGCCAGAAGTGGCACTGTGGTTCAAGTGGTAGAGTGCTAGTCTTGAGCTGAAGAGCTGAGGGACAGTGCCCAGGCCCAGAGTTCAGGCCCCATGACTGGACCTCTCCCTCCCCCCCCCCCCCAAAAAAAAGTCTCAATATAATTGCCACCAGTTCTTAAACTTGAGATCCTCTTGCCTTAGCCTCTCAAGTTGTAGAGGTTACAGGAATTCCGCACCACACCCAGCTTACTTTTTCAATTAACAAGTGATTCTTTCCAGTAGAGCCTGAATGCTTTTCCTTGGAATTGTTTAATCAGGATTTTGTTTTAATAATCTTTCTTGATCCAGAGATTGGGGGAGGCTGTATAACTTTTTCTTTTTCTGGAACTGGATCAAGAACTAAACTGAATTTTCAAAGCTCTGAGTGATGGAGGAGATGAATCAGAAGAACCTGGAAGTAAGAAAATATCAATAGTCTCGGGACTAATTTAAGCTGTCCCATCCTATGAGGGAGGAGGAGAATGTGGTTAACTTTCCTCACCTGGCTGACTCTAGTTAACATTATCTACTGAAGGAGGAAACACCTTAAGTGGCTTGCTACCAAATGGAATGCCCAAAGGGCACAGAAAAAAAAGGAGAATAACTCTAGTGAAGGTCCTGGCTTTAAGAAGCTGGCACACTGCTGGGTGTTGGTGGCTCAGGTCTGTAATCCTAGCTACTCTAGAGGCTGAGATCTGAGAATCACAGTTCAAAGCTAGCCCAAGCAGGAAAGTCCTCGAGACTCTTACCTCCAATAAACCACTCAGAAAACGGGAAGTGGCGCTGAGGCTCAAGTGGTACAGCCTTACACTTGAGCTGAAGGGCAGAGGGATGGCACCCAGGTTCAAGCCCCACAACTGACAAAACAAAAAATATTCAACAGACAACGAAGCTGACACATCCTAGGCACCTGTGGCTCAGGCCTTTAATCCCAGCTACTCAAGAGGCTGAGATCTTAGAATCATGGTTCAAAAGCCAATCTAGGAACAAAAGTCCCAAGAAGACTCTTATCTCCAATTAACTACTCCTAAACTGGAAGCTAGCACTTTAGATAAATCTGGTACTGTTTTGTAAATAGTTTCCTTCCTCTTTTTAAATTTTTTTTGTGGTTTTAAGAGTGCTGGAGGGAGCAGCCGGGCGCTGGTGGCTCACACCTGTAATCCTAGCTACTCAGGAGGCTGAGATCTGAGGAGCGAGGTTCAAAGCCAGCCCGGGCAGGAGAGACTGTGAGACTCCTATCTCCAATAAACCACCAGAAAACCGGAAGTGGTGCTGTAGCTCAAGTGGTAGAGCGCTCGCCTTGAGCTGAAGAGCTGAGGGACAGCGCCCAGGCCCAGAGTTCAAGCCCCACGACCGACCAAAAAAAAAAGAAAAAGAGTGCTGGAGGGGGTTGGGAAGGTGGCTCAGTGGTAGAGTGCTTGTCTTGCATGCATGAGGCCCTGGATTCAATTCCTCAGCACCACCTAAGCAGAAAAAGCTGGAAGTGGTGCTATGGCTCAAGTGGTAGAGCACTAACTAGCCTTGAGCTGAAGAGCTGAGGGACAGAACCCAGCCCTGAGTTCAGGCCTCAAAACTGGGGTCTCACAGAGTCTCACAGAGTACTGGAGGTTGGGTACTGGTAGCTCACGACAGTAATCAAGCATGCTGAGATCTGAGGATCCTGGTTCAAAGCTAGTCTGGGCAGATAAAAATAAAAAACTACCAGAAATTGAGTTCTGGGCTTTATACTTTAGTCTGTTAAGTGTTCTACCAGAGCCACATTTCCAGTCTTTTTGGAAATGAGAGTTGGTAGTTCACCAGTTTACATTTTGTCTATAGCTGCTTTGTGCTCTGCTGGCAGAGCAGAGAAGTCGAGGCCATATAAGCCCACTGTGGGGCCCTTTGCCCCAGTTTCAGACTCTTCCTTGTTCTGCTGGCCTCAAGTTGGCCTTGCCTCCACCTCCCCATCCACTGGCCTCAAACTGACTCAACTTCTACCTTCCAATCCACTGGCCTGAATGGAGAAAACCCTCAGGCATTGGGCTGACAGCTTGATATCATTTACACTGGAGTCACCGACTGAACTGAAGTTATAACTATGATTAAAGCAAATTCCCAATTAGCAGAAGTCAAAAAGAAATACACGTTTATTTTTTAACAATTACAACGGCAACTAGAGGGGAATCTTCTTTAACTTGACCTTTTCTTCTACATTAGAAAAGTATTTCATCTTTGTTAAGATTTCCTTGGCTTTTTCAAAGTCATCTGAAATAAATAAGAGACACTGATGTCAAACTTTGTTTCTAGGAGGAATAAAGCCAACCCTGGCAACCAAGACAACTGGCTCAAAGCTGATCTCAGATCTGGAGGCCTGTCAGTTACTCAGTAAATCAGTAATGCAGAGGAAGGATACCTGCATGATTTTTTGGTAGTAAAATTTTAAATTTTACTTAAAAAAATTGTTATTAAGGTGATGGACAAAGGGGTTACAGTTACCTAAGTCAGGAAATGAGTACATTTCTTTTCTTTTCTTTTTTGTCACTCTGGGGTCTTGAACTCTGGACATGAGCGCTGTCCCTCATCTGTTCAGCTCAAGGCTAGCACTCTACCACTTGAGCCACAGCGCCACTTCCTGTTTTCTGAGTGGTTTACTGAGATAAGAGTTTCATAGCCTTTCCTGCCTTGGCTGGCTTTGAGCTGCAATTCTCAGATTTCAGCCTCCTGAGTAGCTAGGATTACAGGCTTGAGCCCCAGGTGCCTGGCATGAGTACTTTTATTTTAGGACTATGCCACCCCTTCCCTTGCTCTCTCCCAGTTTTTCCTTCCCATCCCCACCCACACTGCCTAGTGAGTACGGTCAGCATTAAGCCCACCTTTATTCCTCAGCTCCACCCAGACCTTAGCTCCTCTGCCTTGGAGTTCCCACCATACAGCTGGCCCCTCCTTCTCTCTGCCTACACCCACCTGAACTCCCATCAACCTCACTTCCTACCCCCAGATGCTGTTGCTACCTAGATAGTGGAAGTCCTCATGTGCTCTCTCTCAGGGAGAAATAGGGCTCCTCTAATAAACCTTGTAATAATCTTTCTCCAGTGCCTGCCTGCCTGCCTCTCTGTGGTCCCCTGGGATGGATGTGACAGAACCTTTCAAGTACCACTGCTGCATTTGTTCACCCTTTATTCCCCATTTCTGTGCTTCTTTTACCCTCAGACATATAAATGAACAAACAAGACAAAACCAAAACAAAACTCTTGTTTCCATTTCTTAGAATTCTTTTTTTTTTTTTTTTGTCGGTCTTGGGGTTTGAACTCTGGGCCTGGGCGCTGTCCCTCAGCTCTTCAGCTCAAGGCGAGCGCTCTACCACTTAAGCTACAGCGCCACTTTTTTTTTTTTTTGGTCACTCATGGGGCTTGAACTCTGGGCCTGGGTGCTGCCCCTCACCTCTTTAGCTCAAGACCAGCACTCTACCACTTAAGCCACAGCACCACTTCCAGTTTTTCTGGTGGTTTACTGGAGATAAGGGTTTCAGAGACTTTCTTGTCTGGGCTGGCTTTGAACAGTGATCCTCAGAGGCTTGAGCCACCAGCACCTGGCTCTTAGAATTCATTTTGATAAACATTATTTTGCATGATCAGAGGCACAGAGGCAATGTAACTTTGGGTTCCTTCCCTAAGAGGAATATACCTATTTTATTACTGTTTTCTTTTGTGCTGGTCCTAGGGCTTGAACTCTGGGTCTGGGCATGTCCCAGAGCTTCTTCTGTTTAAGAATAGTACTCTAGGGGCTGGGAAGGTGTCAGTGATAGAGGGCTTGCTCTGCATGCATGAGGCCCTGGGTTTGATTCCTCAGCACCACATAAACAGAAAAAGCAAGAAGTGGCTCTGTGGCTCAAGAGGTAGAGCGTTAACCTTGAGCTGAAGAGCTGAGGGACAGTGCCCAGGCCCAGAGTGCAAGTCCCATGACAAAAACAAAAGAAACCCAACTAGTACTCTACCACTTTAGCCACAGTGCCAGTTCCGGCTTTTTTTTTTTTTTGGTCGGTGGTGGGGTTTAAACTCTGAGCTTGGGCGCTGTCCCTGCGCTCTTCAGCTCAAGGCTGGCCCTCTACCGCTTGAGCCACCGCACCACTTCTGATTTTCTAGTGGTTTATTGGAGATAAGAGTCTCACAGACTTTCCTGCCCTGGCTGGCTTTGAACTGCGATCCTCAGATCTCAGCCTCCTGAGTAGCTAGGATTACAGGCATGAGCCACCGGCGCCTGGCTTACTTCTCTCACAGACTTTTCTGCCTTGGTTGGCTCTGAACATGATCCTAGATCTCCTGAGTAGCAAGGATTAATAGGTGTGAGCCACCAGTGCTTGGCAGATATCTGTATTATTATTACTATTATTGTCAGTTGTGGGGCTTGAACTCAAGGCTTGGGTGCTGTTTCTGAGCCTTTCTGTGTTCAATGCTAATATGCTACCAATTGAGCCACAGCTCTACTTCCAGCTTTTTGAGTGGTTAATCAGAGATAAGAGTCTCACTGGGACTTTTCTGCCAGGGCTGGCTTCAGAACCCTTATCCTTAGATCTCAATTTCCTGAGTAGCAAGGATTATAGACACAAGCTATCATCAGCACCTGACTGTATCTGTATTATTAAGGAGATAAATTAATCCGGCATGCCTGTTTACAGAGTACAGATAAATCAGAAGTGGTGTTTCTCTCTTTTTTTTTTTGGGGGGGGGGGGGGGTCCAGTCGTGGGCCTGGACTCTGGGCCTGAGCACCGTCCCTTAGCTCTTCAGCTCAAGGCTAGCACTCTACCACTTGAACCACAGCGCCACTTCCAGCTTTTTTTTTTTCTGCTTATGTGGTGCTGAGGAATCGAACCCAGGGCCTCAAGCATGCAAGGCAAGCACTGTACCACTGACTGAGCCACCTTCCCAGACCATGGTGATTCTCTTTTGGACAATCCCAAGTAATAGTTGCTTTTTTTGTTTGTTTGTTTGTTTTTGGCTTTTTATCTTTTGCAGAGCTGGGGACTTAACTCAGGGCCTTGCACCTGCCACAAAGGTGCTCTTCTACTGAGCAAAATCCCCATCCCCAGTGTAAAGTGATAAATGGGTTGTGTTTGGGATGCTCAAACAGTAAAGCTTCCTCTACAGAGCTACCCTAGGGGCAGGGATTCCATTCTCTGGAATGATGCCCATAAACCAACATGGCTTTCAGCCAAGGGTAATTTTGCCCCATGGAGTCATTGGGCAATATCTGGAGACATTTTTGGTTGTCATAACTAGGGAAGAGGTACTGACATCTAGTGGGCAGAAACAGGGATGGGAGAAATATGTTAGTGCAAAGAACAGCCCCATAACAAAGAATTACCTGGCTCAAAATATTAGTAATGCCTGAATTAACAAACCCTGACCTAGGTAAATACAATAATAATTTTAAAAAATTCTTGCTGTGCCAGGGACTGAATTCAGGGCTTTGCACATGTTAGGAAAGCACCGTATCAGTGAGCTATATCTCCAGTCCTTTGAATCCTGTTACTTTAAGCTAGGTAGGCTTTGAGCCTTGATCCTCCTAGATCAAGATTACAGGTGTGCACCACCATGCCTGGCCAACGTACCATAATGCATACTAAAATGAAGATCTCGCTGGGCGCTGGTGGCTCACGCCTGTAATCCTAGCTACTCAGGAGGCTGAGATCTGAGGATCGCGGTTCAAAGCCAGCCCGAGCAGGAGAGACCGTGAGACTCCTAGCTCCAATAAACCACCAGAAAACCGGAAGTGGCGCTGTAGCTCAAGTGGTAGAGCGTTGGCCTTGAGCTGAAGAGCTGAGGGACAGCGCCCAGGCCCAGAGTTCAAGCCCCACAACTGACAAAAAAAATAAAATAAAATAAAATAAAATAAAATGAAGATCTGTTATGCAAAACCAAAAAGTAAAATATTAAGAAAAAATGAGTTATAAAAGTACATATAAGATATGAAATAGGGCTGGGAAGGTGGCTCAGTGGTAGAGCGCTTGCCTTGCATGCATGAAGCCCTGGGTTCGATTCCTCAGCACCACCTAAGCAAAAAGAAAAAAGCTGGAAGTGGTGCTGTGGCTCAAGTTGTAGAGCGTTAGCCTTGAGCTGAAGAGCTGAGGGACAGTGTCCAGGCCCAGAGTTCAAGCCCCATATCCGGACCCAAACAAAAATAAAATTAAAAAAAAAAAAAAAAGATATGAAGTAGCCAGGTGACGGTGGCTCACGCCTGTAATCCAGATCGCTGTTCAAAGCCAGCCAGGGCAGGAAAGTTTGGGAGACTCCTATCTCCAATAAACCACTCCAAAACTGGAATAGCGCTCGCCGGGAGCTGAAGAGCACAGTGACAGCGCCCAAGCCCAGAGTTCAAGCCCCATGACCAATAAAACAAACAAAAGAAATGAAGTCACTTACACAAAAGTGAAAAAAAAAAAAAAGCAAAACCAAGTGATATACTGTTATGTTCACCAATGGTTAAAATATCAAGTAAAGCAAGGGAATCAGTAAGACAGAGTTCAGGAGAGTACTCACTGTGCAAGGGAGATGAAACAGCAAATGGAGTGGTGTTTGGAAGGCCATGGTCAAGTTTCACTTCTGTTGTTTTGGTGGTACTGGGGTTTGAACTCTGGCTTTGTGCTTGGTAGGCAGGAACTTTACCACTTAAGCCACTCCCTCCAGCTACTTCATTCTTTTTTTTTTTTTTTTTTGGGTCCGGTCGTGGGCCTGAACTCTGGGCCTGGGCGCTGTCCCTCAGCTCTTCAGCTCAAGGCTAGCACTCTACCACTTGAGCCACAGCGCCACTTCCTTTCTTCTTTTTTTGCTTATGTGGTACTGAGGAATCAAACCCAGGGCCTCATGCATGCAAGGCAAGCGCTCTACCACTGAGCCACCTTCCCAGCAGCTACTTCATTCTTTACCATCTTGCTAAATGGAAACACTTTTTCCTATCTAATGTTTAATTGGATTATTGCTTTTTTTTTTTTTCCCTGCTGGCACTGGGGCTTGAACTCAGGATCTGGGAGCTGTCCCTGAGCTTTTTCACTCAAGACACTAGTGCTATACTGCTTGAGTTACAGCTCCACTTCTGGCTTTTTGTTGGTTAATTGGAAATAAGGCTAGACTTTCCTGCCTGGGCAGGCTTTGAATCTCTATCCATGTATTTCAGCCTACAGGAGTGCGCCTCTGGTAGCACGCCTTGAATTTTGAGAACATTTGTGCCAGGGCTGGCCTCCAACCTTGATCCCTCAATCTTTGCCACTGTATAAGCCACCAGTGCCCAGTCAAACATGATTTTGATTCTTGTATTGCCTGCCTGTAGCTCACACCTATAATCTGGCTGGATTATTGATTTTTTTTTTTTTTTTGGGTCAGTCATGGGGCTTGAGTGCTATCTCTGAACTTTTTGCTGAAGTCTAGTGCTCTAACACTTAAGCGACAGGGCCACTTCCAATTTTCTGATGGTTAATTGGAGATAAGAGTCTCACTGACAGCCTGGGCTGCCTTCAAACCAGGATTCTTAGATGTTAGCATCCTGAGTAGCTAGAATTACAGGTGTGAACCACCAGCTTGGCCCTATTGTTGTTGTGGATTCATTGTTTTATTTTTTCAGCAAGGCAGAAACACAGATTCCTGTATAGTTTGTATCTCCTACTGTTCCCATTGTAGGCTAGGGATATGATAGCTATGTTAATGACTGGTCTGCCCCAATGCTTACACTTCCTTGTCATACTGAATAAAGTCAAGAATTCAATGAAGTACCTTGTTCAAAAGCCATCTTCACATTGTCAGTAAATTCTTTCTGTTTAGCTGAAAAAGAAGATAGTCAACTTAACTTTTCAATTTACATAGGCTCATAATATGAAGACAACAGTTTGTGATCATGCTGCTTTAAATTCAAAGCAGGAAGCCAAGCACTGGTAGTTCATGCCTATAACTCTAGCTACTCCTCAAGAGGATGATAGTACCTAGCAAGCCAGGGCAGGAAAGTCCATGAGATTCTTATCTCCAATGAACCACCAAAAAAGTTGTAAATGGAGCTGTGGCTTAAGTGGTAGAATACGAGCCTTAAAGGAAAAAAGCTCCCAGGCACTGAGTTTAAGCCCCAGGACCAGCAAAAAACAAACAAAACCCAACCAACCAAAAAAAAACCCCAACAAAACAACAACAACAACAACAAAAACCCACACAAGGGAGAAGCTTACATTCAAGGTCATAGTTTTATAACATTTTGTCTCTACGTATACTGTGACAGTTTTGTCTTTTTTTTTTTGTCAATCGTGGGGCGTGAACTCTGGGCCTGGGTGTTGTCCCTCAGCTCTTCAGCTCAAGGCTAGCTCTCTACCACTTGAGCCAAAGTGCTACCTCTGGCTTTTTCTGCTTATATGGTGCTGAGGAATCAAACCCAGGGCCTCATGAATGTAAGGCAAACACTATACCACTGAGCCACCTTCCCAGCCCCTACTGTGACAGTTTTTATTTTATTTTTGCAATGTAGGGAAAGAACTTAGGGTTGTACAATCTAGGCACCCAGCTATATTCTCAGTTATTAGTTTTATAGCTTCTGAGTGATAAGATACAGGTGTGCAGCTGATATTTAATGCAGCCCTCAGACCATGAACGATCTGAGGGCAATCATCAATGTTTATAAAATGGCTATGAAAAAAAAAGAGGAATTTCAGCAAGGAAAAAACTCCTTTTTTTGTTGTAGTGGAGCTTGAACTCTGGGCCTAGGTGCTTATTCCTCAGCTCTTCAGCTCAAGGTGAGTACTCTACCACTTGAGCCACAGCGCCACTTCTGGTTTTCAAGTGGTTTATTGGAAATAAGAGTCTCACGGAGGAAGTGGCATTGTAGCTCAAGTGGTAGAGTGCTAGCCTTGAGCTGAAGAGCTGAGGGACAGCGCTCAGGCCCAGAGTTCAAGCCCCATGACCGACAAAAAAAAAAAAAAAAAAGAAAAAGACCAGACAAATCTAAGCCAACAACTCTCCTGAATATACATTGGATCAAAGAATTCTAATTTGAACTTAGGTCCATTGGCTTATATTTTGGGGCTGGGAAGGTGGCTCAGTGGTAGAGCGCTTTGCCTTGCATGCATGAGGCCCTGGGTTCGATTCCTCAGCACCACATAAGTAAAAAGAAAAAAGCCTGAAGTTGCGCTGTGGCTCAAGTGGTAGAGAGCTAGCCTTGAGCTGAAGAGCTGAGGGACAGTGCCCAGGCCCAGAGTTCAGGCCCCACGACCGGACGCGCCCCCCCCCTCCCAAAAAAAAAAACCAAACCAAGTCGGGCGCCGGTGGCTCACACCTGTAATCCTAGCTGCTCAGGAGGCTGTTCAAAGCCAGGCTGGGCAGGAAAGTCCGTGAGGCTCTTATCTCCAATAAACCACTAGAAAACCGGAAGTGGCTCTACCCAAGAGGTAGAGCGCTCGCCTTGAGCTGAAGAGCACAGGGACAGTGCACCCTGGCCCAGAGTTCAAACCCCAAGACCAACTAAATAAATAAATAACAGCAAGAAGAATTTTCCGAAGAATTGTGACTTCCATATTGAATGAAGGCACAGCATTTTGTGAAAAAAATTGGCCTGAAAAGCATAAAGCTGGCAGCCTGATCTTCCTCTTAGTTTTTAAGCCCTACAATAAATCAAAGCTTTTGTTTTGGTCAGTCCTGGGGCTAGAACTTTAGGCCTGGGCTCTTCAGCTCAAGGCAAGAGCTCTACCACTTGAGCCATAGTGCCACTTCTGGCCTTTTCTGTTTATGTGATGCTGAGGAATCGAACCCAGGGCCTCATGCATGGGAAACAAGCACTCTACCACGGAGCCACCTTCCTAGCCTCTCAAAGTCTTTTGAATGAGAATTATGAACTTCCTTCATAACTAATTACAGTGTTCATATTTAAGCAAGTTTCCACAGGAAATAAAAATCACAAATCCAAGGAGCTGGTATTCTCATGATAGCTAGGTAAAGCATTACAGCACAGAATGAACTTCAGACTTTCTTCACAATGCACACCTTAATGCACCCAGAGTGAAACATAAAAACAGCTACCTTGCTGGGAATGTGTCTTAGTGGTAGAGTGCAAGCACTCTACCATGCACGAAGCCCTAGGTTCGGATTCCTCAGTACCACAAAAACAGAAAAAGCTGCAAGTGGTGTTGTGGCAAAGTGCTAGAGTGCTGTCTTTGAGCAAAAAAAAAAAATCAAGGAGAGTGCCCAGGCCCTGGCCCTACAACCATCACCAACAAAAAAGCTACCTGAGAGGCAAACTCTCTACAAAACCTTTTTGTGGCCGGGGCCGGTGGCTCAAACCTGTAATCCTAGCTACTCAGGAGGCTGAGATCTGAGGATCACAGTTTAATGCCAGCCCCCCACGGGAAAGTCTGTGAGACTCTTATCTCCAATAAACCACCAGAAACCAGACTTGGCGCTGTGGCTCAAGTGGTACACGTGGCACTGTGGCTCAAATGGTAGAGCACTGGCCTTGAGCTGAAGAGGGCAGGGACAGCGTCCAAGCACAGAATTCAATCCCCAGGACTGACCAAAAAAACAACAACAAATTTTGTTTTATAGTAATCAAATGCTTTCCAGCAAAATGTGCAACTCATTTAACAAATCTGCTTTGCTGCCTAACTTCAATTTACTAAATTCATCATAGCAAGTGAGAGATTCATAAAGTTAAAACTGGTTATACTAACCACCATATTAGATGGCTCCAAATGCATAATAGTCAAATGTGACCCTCTGGATGGATTATACCAGGTTCTTTCCATTTTATTCAAATAAAATACATTATAAATACTCTAGAAGCATTTCCCATCTTAAAAACCAAAACACAAAGCTTCTAATCACCATCAGAAGGTGATGTTCAGGTTAATGATGTTTGCCTTAAAGGCACTGTCTGCTTAATGCCAAAGGTGACCCTTATCCAACGGATGAGATCTGAGGATCGTGGTTTGAAGCCAGCCCGAGCAGAAAAGTTCATGAGACTCTTATCTCCCAATTAACCACCCAAAAGCCAGAAGTGGAGGTGTGGCTCATGTGGCGGAGGGTCGGCATGGGGAAAAAGGTCAGGGACGGCGTCTGGCCCTGAGTTCAAGCCCCAGTACCCGCAGGCCCGCTCCCGCGCGCCCACCCACTTACGCACGCACGCACAAAAAGGTGATGTTTACTTAGTCCTGTTTGCCTTCGTGCTGCTTCTGTGAGCCTTCGTTCCAGGCTACATACACAAACCGCGCCAGCACGATGTGAACCGCCACCACCGCGACGATGGCAGCATAAAAATCACTGTCTCTGTTGGACATCCCGAGGGCGCCTCGGAACACGCAGGAGGTGGTCGCGAAGTACAGGCCGATGGGAACCGTGATGATCAACGCGGTGAAGACCAGGAGCGTCTTCAGGCTGGACGGGAAGACGTCTTCGTTCCCGAACGCGGGTGGCTGCAGGGCGTTCAGCGTCACTTTGTCCACGCGCTCCATGCTGTGGCCGAGGCGTGGGGAGCGCCGGCCGGCAGAGCCGCGGAGCGCGTCCGGTCCGGACCCGATGCGCCGGAAGTGCTCGAGGCTTTTTGCCGGACCCTCGCGGCGGAACTTTGGTACAAGTCTCCGGGCCAAACAGGCTGGGTCCGGGCCGGAAGTGCTCCTGCTTTCCGCGCGGCGCGGAGGGATGACGTAAGATGCCGGGGGCGGGGCTGGTCCTGGGAGCTTGAACTCAGAGCCGGGGCGTTGTTCCTTAGCTCGTCTGTCTTTCTCTTTCCTCTTTCTCTCCTTTCTTTCTTTCTGTTGTGGGGCTTGAACTCTGGGCCTGGGCGCTGTCTCTCAGCTCTTCAGCTCAAGGCAAGCGCTCTACCGCTTGAGCCACAGCGCCACTTCCGGTTTCTCGTGGTTTATTGGAGATAGGAGTCTCACAGTCTCTCCTGCCCGGGCTGGCTTTGAACCGCGATCCTCAGATCTCAGCCTCCTGAGTAGCTAGGATTACAGGCTGAGCCACCGGCGCCCAACTGACAGACACATTCTTTACATGTTTCTCATTTAATCCCAGATATGGCGTCCTATAGTGGTAAAAAGTAACGGATGGCGCATTTTATCTTTTACCTTGCACAGTGGATTCAACGTCTGCCACGGCATCTTCACTTTCAGCTTCGGCGAGTTTTTCATTTATTTCCATTATTTCCATGAGGAACTGATTGTCCATTTCATAGTCTGTTCCTTCGGGAATCTCTATTCCATGGAGCTTTAGCTATAAGGGCAGAAAATAAGTTGGATTCAAGAAACTAGGGCCAGAGAGGTAATAATCTTAGATGTGGGAAGAACTTGAATGTCAGTAAAAGGATGTGGCTCAAGTGCTAGAGCTCTTGAGTAGCAATTAGGAGGCTCTAAATTCAAAGCTTAAAACTGAGGGTGGGAGGAGAGTGAAAAAGATAAGGTTGGGAAATCACCTTACAAGATATAGTCCTCTGCTCAGGGGAGCCAGTAGGGTCTTATAGGCATCATTCACCAGAGTGGAATGCTTCTCTGAGAAGTCCTTTTCAGTCTGTTAGTGGAGATGGAGATGAAGACAGTCTTATTATCATTGGACCCAGCCCTTTGTAACATGCTGATGGGCAGGCATCTAAGAAAGTATGGCCAAAATAAAAGTGATGTTTGGTGAGGTATATCCATCAACCAATGGATTCTAAGTTGTCTGGGAAGTCAGATAAAAGCTGTAAGTGACATCTCCGGACTGTAGCTGGCTGGGGATCTTGCCACAGGTGGAGGTGATTGTCCAACTCTGTTCCTGATCATCACTATAACCACAGGCCACTGCCTCTCCCCAGTGCACACAAGTTGGGGAAAAATTGGGGGTCCCAATAAACTACCTGAGACTTCTGGCTGAAGAAATCTGGGTGGATAAGACGTTGTAGCTGCTGATACCTGTTCTGGAGTTTGGTGATGTCAATTTTGAAGGATCGGTTGCTAGAAGGAAATTGGGAGACAAAAATACAGGGTTTTGGGGCTGGGAAGGTGGCTCAGTGGTAGAGCGCTTGCCTTGCATGCTTAAGGCCCTGGGTTCGATTCCTCAGCACCACATAAGCAAAAAGAAAAAAGCCGGAAGTGGCACTGTGGCTCAAGTAGTAGAGCACTAGCCTTGAGCTGAAGAGCTGAGGTACAGCACCCAGGCCCAGAGTTCAGGCTCCACAACCGGACCCCCCCCCCCAAAAAAAAAAAATACAGGGTTTTTTTTTTGTCAGTCCTGGGGCTTGAACTCTGGGCCTGAGCGCTGTCCCTCAGCTCTTCAGCTCAAACAGCTCACTTCCGGTTTTCTAGTGGTTTATTGGAGATAAGAGTTTCACGGACATTCCTGCCAGGGCTGGCTTTGAACCGCAATCCTCAGATCTCAGCCTCCTGAGTAGCTAGGATTACAGGCGTGAGCCACTGGCGCCTGGCGCATGCAGTTATTTAATTTATGAACTATGGTTTAGTTGCTGCTCTTGAGGAAGATGCAATAAACAGAGACAATTTTACAAAGTGGCAAGTGCCATGCTGGAAAACAGCAGTGTTGGAAAAGGTGGTAGAGGATATGGAGGAATAGAGATGACACCTGAGCTGAGAGCTGAATAATCAAAGATCAGAGGAAGACTTCTGGGCAGTGGGAACTGCAAGTGCAAAACCCAGAAGTAGGTCAGGTACCTGTAGTTCTTGCCTATAATCTTAGCTACCCAGGAGGCTGAGACTAAGAATCATCGTTGGAAGTCAGCTTGAGCAGACATATCCATGAGACTCTTATCTACAACTAAACAGCAAAAAGCTGGAAGTGGAGCTTTGGCTCAAGTGCCAGCTATGAGCTGGAGGCCCTGAGTTCCATCCCCAGTACTGGCAATAAAACAAACCAAAAAAAACCCTGGAAACAATATTGCCATCTTGACAATTTAAAGGGTAATGTGATGCAGCCCATTATAAGTGCTCAGGGATTGGGGAACATTATGCAGTTAAGGCAAAGGGACATTTGTGCACCTTCTCTGTCTTTCTATTGGCTAGGTCCCTTCATCCCTGTTTCCCCAACCCTTTCTTTGGTATGGGGGGGGGCGGGGTTGGTTGCAGGGCCTAGGCAATAGCTTTACCATTGAGCCACATCCCTAGCCCTTTTACATTTTAACACAGGTTCTTGCTAAATTACCCAAGGTAGTCTTGAATTTGCAGTCCTGCCACCTTAGTCTCCTGAGTAGTTCTGATTACAAATGTGAACCAGCAGGGTGGGCCATGAATATTTAGAGTCCTCTCTTTGTATTGTTTTTTTTTTTTTTTTTTTTATTTGTCAGTCCTGAGGCTTGAACTCAGGGCCTGGGCACTGTCCCTTAAGCTTCTTTTGCTCAAGGCTAGCACTCTACCACTAGAGCCACAGCGCCATTTATGGCTTTTTCAGTTTAAGTATTACTGAGGAATGAAAGCAGATGTTCATGCTAGGCAAGCACTCTACTACTAATCTATATTCCCAGCCCCTGTATTGTGTGTGTGTGTGTGTGTGTTGGTTGTGGGGCTTGAACTCTGGGCCTAGGTGCTGTCCCTCAGCTATTCAGCTCAAGGCTACCACTTGAGCCACAGTGGCACTTCCGGTGTTCTGGTGGTTTACTGGAGATAAGAGTTTCATGGACTTTCCTGCCTGGGCTGGCTTTGAACTGTGATCCTCAGATCTCAGCCTCCTGAGTAGCTAGGATTACAGGTGGGAGCCATGGTACCTGGCTCCTGTATTGGGTTTTTAAAGCTGGATCCCATGTGGAGAATAGGCAAGGACTTTACTGCTGAGTTATGGTCCCAGTTTCCATTTTAATTTCTCTTCTTCTTCTTCTCCTTCTTCTCCTCCTGCTCCTCCTCCTCTTCCTCCCCCTCTTCCCTCCTCTTCCTCTTTTTGTTGGTCATAGAACTTGAACTCAGGGGCTTGGCCACTGTCCCTGAGCTTTTTCAGTCAAGGCTAGCATTCTACCACTTTGAGCCACAGCTCCACTTCTGGTTTTCTGGAAGTTAATTGGAGATATGAGTCTGACAGACTTTCCTGCCTGGGCTGGCTTCCAACCATCGACCTCAGATCTCAGCTTTCTGAATAGCTAGTATTACAGGTGTAAACCACAAACACATGGCTAAAATTTTTATTTATTATTTATTCTTTTTGTCAGTTGTGGGGCTTGAACTCTGGGCCTGGGCACTGCCCCTCATCTCTTCAGCTCAAGGCGAGCACTCTACCACTTAAGCCACAGCACTACTTCTGGTTTTCTGAGTAACTAGGATTACAGGCTTGAGCTACTGGCGTCTGGCTATTATTTAAGTAGTTGTACACGGTGTTTCAATTTAGTAAATCAGTTTACAAGTATAATGCATCTTGATCAATGTCACCCCATCAATTACTCTCCCTCCATCACAGCTTTTTTTTTTTTTTTAATCTAGGATTTTTTTCTACCTCCACAGCTTGCTCCATTTCCTCTCTGGTTCTGCCCACATGTTCCCACCTCTCCAATCTCAACCTTCAGGGGAAAAAGGAGTAAAGAAGATCCCGCTTATTGGGTTCTTTCCTGCTAATTCTCAATGCCCCTTAGATTTTGCCTGTATTTGTGTGTGCACGCGCCTTTACTTCCATATATATTGTGGACTTACTTTCATAGTGTGGGGTTCGAATCCTTAAACATACAAGCTACGCAAGCACCACATTCCCAGAGCTTGTTCCTTACATAACCTTGGGCTTTATACGTCAGCACTTTCTTTTTTGGACGGGTAGAGTTTACTGGAGGCTTGAACTCAGGGCCATGCGTTTGCCTGGTCAGGCGCAACCTCGCAGGACATCACGCCTCCAGCCGTGCCAGCACCCCTTTCTTAAAGAGCTCAACCCAACTTCCCCATTTTTTGAGCCCGTTCCTTCCCTCAAGCTCGGGTCCTCGGCTTCTACCCTTTGGCCATGGGCCCGCCCCTCAAGTCTCCCCCTAGAGTCACTGACTCAGTCGCTCCACGACTCTCCCCTCTCCCTTCCTCTACCTCCCTTCCACAACATCGCTTCCAAGGGGTCGGTCTCCGCCCCTTCATTTCCTCTGTTTTCCGGGTACTTCCTCAAGCCCGCCTCTCTAGGGCTACGCCCACCTGCCTCATCAGCAGTCAGGGTCCTTCAGAGCCGGCTGGGCTCTGTCCTCCCCTCCCCTCCTCCCCCCCTTCCCTCCCCTCCCCTCCCCTCCCCTCCCCAGCCCCTGACGTCTCCCGGAGCCCGCCCGCCTCCCGGCACCATCGCTTGTACCAATCCATCAGGCTGAAGTAGTCTCGCGTGGGGTCAGGAGGCTGCAGCGCGCGGCACCGCGGGCAGAAGAACCCGTCCCCACGTCCGGAGTCCCCGCAGTGCCAGCATCGTGCCCAATTGCTTCCCGCCTGAGAGGCAGCATGGCTGCGTAGCAGTCGCCTTCCGGGGACCCCAGCCGGCTGCAACCCCCTTAGCCGAAGCGAGGCCCCGGCCTTCCAGACCCACATCTGGTCCAGCGGCCTAAGTCACCAGGGTCACTACTGCAGGAAAGGCAGTGATGGACCCGGCGAATACTGCTGATTGGCTGTAGAGCTGAGGGGGCGGGACCCGCTGGGAGGGGGTGTATGGGAAACCAGGATGTTGAATCTCGTTCCGCACTCTACAACTACAACTCCCAGCGGGCATCGAGGCTACGCGAGGCGGTACAATTCGTCGCATCTCATTGGGCTGGCGGCGGCGGAGGGCGTTTTGATTGGTTGAGGGTGGAGTTTGTATTTGCAGGT